CAATGAAGCGATAAAAAACAATATTTTTACTGCTGCTTTTACGAAATAACATGAACAAACTGTTACCAAMAAATGATTGGAGGACTCCTGTATTTTTCCACACACTTGGAGTATATGAAAATATAGTAAGAAACCTAAAATAAATTTTTTTTTATAGATATGTATTTATGTTTCTACAAATGTAAAGCCTATAAACATGATTGGAAAATATTTTGCTCGAGGTTAATTCTGAATGGAGTTAATCTGAGGGCTGACAGTCGTAACTTTTTCCATTTCTCTACGTATGTATTCTGATTTGGCATTCGCATTGGCAGTTTTATCTGGCAACTTTATTATCAATCAATCAAAAATCAATTTTTCATCGTTTAGTGGAGTCTTTTTTAACATTTTCTGAAAAAAATTTAACGCAATAATGTTCAACGACCTTCATAGAGCTTAAATTTTTCAAAAATCGCGTTTAAAAATTCGAAACCAGGAAAAAAATGTGGATAAAATTCGTGTGGGAGATAAGAAAAAAATTAATTTTGTATTTTTTGTTCCTGTATCATTACATCACATATGTTTGTATAATTGCATATGTTCTAATTTCGCAAAGTGTAATTTTGCCTAAAAGCTTAATTATTTATTTATTTTTCAATATACATATACATACATATATTTATATGAACATTATTAGGTTCAAATATATAACTAATATCAGGGCTTTCAAAAATGKGGTGTGTGAGATACCTTAATGAAACTGAGGGAGCATCTTATTCTATGAATAATATGTGGTAATCCAAAAGTTTGGTAAAATTGGTAAAATCGGTTCTATACTACCCCCGTCTCCCATATACCTAATATGAGATTTTCAAACGCCCACTTAACTCTATACCGCATATGGGCAAATCCTGCGTTACGAACGCCACATTCGTACGCGTTTTCGGATTGAAATATAACAATTTTTTGTWWTATTTTTGTTATATTTTTATCAACAGTGTTTAGTGGGATATGAAAGTACTTTCGAATGTCATCGAAATATTTATTGTAACAGGTTTAAGCTGCGAAAAATTTGATCTCAAAGTATTGTTACGCACGCTACAAAAAATGGAAGTAGCTTTGAAGGTTGAGGTATGTTTTCATAAGTATTAGCAAATTTTGTATAATAAAGCACACCAAATGAAATACCTTAAAGAAAGATAAATATAAGAGAATTCTAAAATAACTTACTTGCAGCCAAAAAATATTGTAGTTTTTTATCAATGGCCGTGAACCCAACGTTACGCACGCTACGTTACGCACGCTAAATTTTGTAATAGTATACAAATAAGAACAATTGTATTTATTTGAACAAAACAATTTATACTCTTTTTTAAAAAGATTATTTAATTCATATTTTATGTTTATAAATTAACTTATTAATGTATATATGTTTATAAATAAGTTTTATGTTTTGCTAAATCTGCCGTTGGTGCTATTTCGAGCTCACTTTCATTAAGAAATGAAAAATAATGGTTACTTTTTATTCCGGGAATGCTCTTAACGTTAGCCCATCTCTCCGAAAGATATATATATTACATATGAAAGCCTTTGATGCTAGCGCTGCGTACTTTAGTTTATTTAATAATTTGTTTATTATGA